GTTCTGCCTTGTGATAATTTTGCACCAAGGCTTTAACAGCGATGGGTAGAACTCCCCATCGCTGTTTGGCATGGTTCTGGAAGTAGGTTTGGCTTAGGGACCGCTTACCCATCGATGGGAAGATCTTCCCATCGCTGGGTGGGTGGTTAGTCAAGAACCCATGGTTTTTGCCTTAACCACGGCCTAGCCAACCGATGCGAAACCCGACCGAAAAATTCAAAGTTCTCCAAAATAAAAACCAAGTGTTTAAAACACTTATTTGATGTATTTGGCTAAGAAATCAAGTAAGACACTTTAAAAACCACGTCATTTGAGTGAAAACCACGACTAGCCAAGTTTATGCCGTTTTGATAGATTTTTGTCAAACGACCAAAAGCGAAAGATGGTTTTCAAGGTGTTTTTGTTGGAGAACCGTTTAAACATGCCAAAGAGTGAAAACCAATCATAAAAAGTTGAAAGCCACTTGGTTGGTTCGGACGCCAAAAACCAACGCCAAAAACCGAATGCCGAACGCCGGTTTCTGAAACCCGAACGCCGGATGGCTTGTTTTTGGTTTGGGCAAACACCAAGTGTTTTTAATGTCTTAAACAAGTTTGAAAAACATTTTTATGATTTAAGAAATGCAATGAAGGATTTTAGCCTAAAGAGCCAAGGTATAAAGATTGGGTCGGTCTTGATCACAATGAAGACCGACTCAACGACACTAAGACTAAGGTCTTCGTTCTTGGTCTTCTTTTAGCTCTTGTTCTTGTCTTCCTTCTTCGCCTTGTATATTCAATGTTTGACTTGATCACGGCGGTTTGGAATTATCAAAACCTGTTACAAAAAACGAACACGGCTTTAGTACGAAAACGTGACAAGCCCGTGTTTCAACAATTTCCCCCTTTTTGATAATGACAAACGAGATGAGGTTATGCATATGAGGAAGACTTAGATACTTAAAAAAATGTTCCCCCTTAATAGATGCCATCTTATTTTAAAACAATTCCCCCTCAATTTTTGCATAACCTTGATATCTTCCCCCTTTTGACATTAACAAAAAGAATTAAAAGTGAACTTTAGAAAGTGAAATTTTATTCATTCAAAGAGGAGAAAATGCTGAATACAATGGAATTGAAATAAAACATGCAATCAAAGTAGAGAAAGAAGAGATAGTAGAGTCTAGGCAGCGGCGTCCTCGTCCTCGGCGTCATCGTCTTCTTCGTCGTCCTCAACGTCCATGGGATCCCCGTCGACCGTGTCCTCAAAATTGGCCTCGTCGGGGGAGGAGGACGGAGCATAGGAGGCATCTTCCTCGTCCTCGCCTTCATAGTTTTGGCCGAGGAAGGTGCTGTCAAATGGCGGCGGGACGTAGTTGATGCCGCGGAAGTACGCCGTCATGTCGTGGTTTTGGCGTTGCAGCGTCTAGTCCATCCGCTCCAGGTATTGGCCCATGCCATCCACGGTGATGGTTAGCCGATTCAGGGTATCGGCTATGGACTGTAATGAGGCCCGAGTGGGAGCAGGAGCGGGGGCAAGCTCAGGGGCACGGGCACGACTCGTTCCGGCACCGTTACGGTTTCCGGACTTCTTCCTGAAGGTGTTGTCGGCGATGACCCAGAGCTTCGTCATCTTCGTGTCTGGCCCGGCGATGTGGATGTCGGCGGAGACGATGAGGTCCATGACGAGGAAGGCGTAGGGCAAGCTCTGCTCGGAGGTGATGGAGGCACAATCAGCCATGTGAATCATGACGTATTTTGCCCAATTGATGGAGGCGCCGTGCATGATCGCATGAATTGCCCTCAAGTCGTCGTTGAAGAGCGAGGTGTGGCTGCCATCCCGGGGGTGGAGGATCCGGGTGAGGATGTAGAGGAGGAGGCGCTTCTCCGGTGGGGCCGAGTGAATCGTCGGTGCGCCGCTGTTACGGATCAAGTTGGTGATCCCGAGCTCACGGATGACGACGGCCTCGTTGTTGAGGATCCAATCGTCGCCACCGTACGACGCGATGTCATCACCGCGGGTGGGTAGCTCTGCGACCCGAGCAAAGGTAGCTCTGCGGATGGTGTCCCCGTCCCGGCGGAGATTTGAGTAGAAGGCCCGGTTATAGGCGGGATTGAAGGAGGTGCGGCTCTTGGAAACGAAGGGCCACAAACCCGACTCCTTGAGCTGATTGTCGAGGTCGTGGTACCCTTTCTGATGGGGAAATAGTTCCGGGAGCACTCAGGGCGGACAGATCGGCCGCTTGGCGAAGTGCGTGAGGAAGCCGGTTAGTTCTTCCTCCAACCCGAACTTGAGGAAAGAGCCGTCCAGGTAGGGAAACAGCGGGGGCGCTGAGGTCGTCGCTTCGGCGTTGCCCTTCTTCTTGGAGGCCTTCGACTTGGATTTTCCTCCGGCCATGATTGAAGCGCTTCTTACGAAAGATTGATGAGATTGGCTAAAGGAATGAAAAAGAGGTGTTAAGTGTGTGTTAAGAATGTAAGGGATGATGTGAATATATAGGGAGAGGAAGATAAAACCGTGTGAATTCAAAAAATATGGCTGTTGGGCATTAAATTCGGTGCCCAACGGCCATAATTTTTGAATTTCAACTGCCCTCCCATCGATGGTAAGGAAGTTCCCATCGATGGGAGGATCGCTACTGGAAATCGAGAAGAAAAACAAGGCTGTCTTCCCATCGATGGTCAAGCTCACCCATCGATGGGAGGGTGCCTACTGGAAATCCGTTAAGACGTTTTTAAAAATAGTGTCAAACACCCAGCGATGGGAGAAAGTTCCCATCGATGGGATGGGAGGTTCTGAAAAAAAAAATTTGATAAAAGTCCTTCACCCAGCGATGGGATAAAATACCCATCGATGGGTTAAGGTGTTCTGGAAATCCGTTAAGTATTTTTAAAAAATAGAGTCAATTATCCATCGATGGGAAGAAGCACCCATCGATGGGAAGAGAAGTTCTGAAAAAAAATAACACTTCCCTCCCAGCGATGGTACAATCCACCCATCGCTGGTTCCCCCTGATTTCCAGAATTCTTCACTTCGAACCGTCCCTACTGAGCCGACGCCAATTATTTTTCCTTTGCTATTGTCTCCAAAGACTACGTTTCCTCCTTTAGCGGGTTTGATTTGTAGGAACTTGGATGCATCTCCGGTCATGTGCTTCGAACATCCGCTATCAAGGTACCAAAGTACACTTGACGCCTTCAAGCATACCTACAAAGATGATTTAATAAGATTTAGGTACCCAAGTCTTTTTGGGTCCTTGAGTGTTAGGTGCAAAGTGGTAGTGTGATTCATTTTGTGCCCAATGCCTATGCCTAGTAAAGCAAACGGGAGCTATATGTCCTACCCTATTGCAATAATGGCAAACTACGTTTGGGTTGTGCATCCTCCTAGGTTGATAGTAGTTGCTAGGGGGCCTAACCATATTCATCCTGTTTTGAGAAAACCTTGGTTTTTGAAAATTTTCCCTTCTAGGTGTTCTAGAATTATTTTGTCTATTTGAAAAATTATTTTTATGCACAGAATCATTTTGATAACTTTTCCTAGGTTGTCTATCATGCACATTTTCATTCCTAGGTTTTTGTCTAGGTTGTCTAGTGTCCTTAGGTTGACTAGATTTTCTATTATCCTGATTTTTAACTTTCTTATGTTGAGCCTTAGGAGGTTTTCTAGATGTTTGCTCAACATTTTTATCCTTAGATTCATTTTTATCAAAACCTATTCCTTCCTTAGAAAAGTGCATGGTGTCTAGAAGTAAATTAAGATCTTTGTGTGGTGTATTAAATTTCTTAACCGTACTCTCAAGTTTTGCAACTTTTTCTTTTAAGGTTTTGCAAGATTCACAGTCACTTGACGAACTTTCTGGTTTGTCAGCGCTTCTTTTGCCATAAAATTTGTTTTCTTGTTTTAACCTTTCATTATCTTTTTCCAACTTTTCAAAATCATTTTCAAGGGTTGAAAGGCGTTTCTTTAATGATTTATTGGTTTTAGAAACGCTAACAAATTCGTCATAAAGCTCATGAAGTGCTTCTTGCATTTCTTCAAAAGAATAGGAGTCGGAAGAAATGGTACATACCTCTTGAACGTCGTCGGTTTGATCTTCGTGCGCCATGAGATAGAGGTTGGCGGCTTCCTCCTCTTCTTGATCCGTTGACTCATCCCCGGAGTCGCCTCCCCAAGAGATGTAGGCGCGTTGCTTTTTGAAGCCAGGTTTGTCCTTGTCGCCTTTGCTTTTTGGACACCTTGGCTTGATGTGGCCTATCTCACCACAACCATAGCACTTCGGGGGACCGTCGTGCTTTCTTCCTTTGCGCTCAATTTCCTTCTTCATAAATTTGTGGAATTTCTTGATGACAAGTCCGAACTCGTTGTCATCATTGCTTGAGTCATCTTCCACGGTCTCCTTGGTTGCTTTCAGTGCTATTCCCTTCTTCTTTTGTTCATCCAAAGACGGGGTTAGAATAGTAGATTCATAGGTTTTGAGATTACCTCTTAGCCCGTCGATGGTGACATTTGAGACACCGATGGATTCATAGATTGCATCTGCCTTTGATCTCCATTCGGGTGTGAGACTTCGCAGAATTTTTCTCACAAGATCCTTGTTGGTGTAAGTCTTCTTGAGTGCATGAAGGTCGTTGATGATTTTTGAGAACCGATCGAACATGTCATCGATCTTTTCACCTTCCTTCATCCTGAACATCTCGTACTCCTGCGTTAGGAAGTCAATTTTGGCTTCCCGAACTTGGTCCGTACCTTCATAAGTGACCTCCAGTTTGTCCCACATTTCTTTTGCAGTGGTGCAGCAAGAAATCTTGCGATAATCATCAGGATTGATGGCACAGTACATCATATTGATAGCCTTGGCGTAGTTCTCCACCTTTTTGATGTCTTCGGCATCAAATTCGTCCTCGGTCTTTGGGACGAGTTTTTCATCGACCTTCTTCATTGGAGTTTCCTCGCCATTCTTGATGACCAACCACAACTGAAAGTTGGTTGAGCGGATATAAATTCTCATCCGCTCTTTCCAATATGTGTAGTTGGTGCCATCAAAGAGCGGTGGCCTAGAGGTTGATTGACCTTCTCCAATTCCTGCATAAAGATTTCTAGAAGAAGAACCCATGATCGCTTTACTCTCAAACGGTTAAGTTTGGACCCCGAGTTAGGCTCTGATACCAATTGTTAGAATAAAAGACCAACGCTAGAGGGGGGGTGAATAGCGTTTGATCGGAGAAATCGCATGAATTAAAAAATTAAAAGAGAAGTAAAGAGAAGAGTAAAAGGCACACCGAATTTTACCCTGGTTCACCACAACTTGTGGCTAATCCAGCCTCCCGAGAGACTCTCTCGAGCTACACTACTATCTCGTTAAGCTTACGGGTGCTTAACAAACCATTACAACTTGAGAGTTCGAGTCACACGAACCTCAACGAATCCTTCAAAGGAAACAGACCTTCCTTTGAAGCAACCGAGAGAGATACTATCTCTCAACGTGTCTAAGAACACAAGTACACTCAAGAACGAGACTCTCTTATAGAGTAGATTATGAGTAAACTAAGTACGCTCAAGAACAACTCAACCTTCACACAAAAATGGCTTTAGAAAGCTATGGAAAATGATGATATTTGAATGCAATGAAAGTATAGATGTTGTGAAGTGAATTGGTGAAAAAAGCAGACCCAAACACCCCTTTTTATAGTGCCAAAGAAGGCTCCAACGGACCAATGCATTAAAGGGGTGATTGGCTTGATTTATGGGATTGAAAAGATTTGGGATCTGCAGAATATTGGCTTCCCATAGATGTTTAGACTCAACCATCGCTGGTAAGCCAATTTTTCTTCAGTTTTGAAGTCAACAGTTACCTACCCATCGATGGGTACAAGCTTCCCATCGCTGGGTGGGAGGTTGACTTCCAAACAAGGAAAGAATCAACCTTTAATGACCACCAACAGTCAAGCTTTCCCATCGATGGTATACCCTTACCATCGCTGGGTTCCCATCGATGGGATAGGTTTACCATCGCTGGGTAAGGTCGTTCTGCCTTGTGATAATTTTGCACCAAGGCTTTAACAGCGATGGGTAGAACTCCCCATCGCTGTTTGGCATGGTTCTGGAAGTAGGTTTGGCTTAGGGACCGCTTACCCATCGATGGGAAGATCTTCCCATCGCTGGGTGGGTGGTTAGTCAAGAACCCATGGTTTTTGCCTTAACCACGGCCTAGCCAACCGATGCGAAACCCGACCGAAAAATTCAAAGTTCTCCAAAATAAAAACCAAGTGTTTAAAACACTTATTTGATGTATTTGGCTAAGAAATCAAGTAAGACACTTTAAAAACCACGTCATTTGAGTGAAAACCACTGCTAGCCAAGTTTATGCCGTTTTGAATGATTTTTGTCAAACGACCAAAAGCGAAAGATGGTTTTCAAGGTGTTTTTGTTGGAGAACCGTTTAAACATGCCAAAGAGTGAAAACCAATCATAAAAAGTTGAAAGCCACTTAGTTGGTTCGGACGCCAAAAACCAACGCCGAAAACCGAATGCCGAACGCCGGTTTCTGAAACCCGAACGCCGGATTCTGAAACCCGAACGCCGGATGGCTTGGTTTTTGGTTTGGGCGAACACCAAGTGTTTTTAATGTCTTAAACAAGTTTGAAAAACATTTTTATGATTTAAGAAATGCAATGAAGGATTTTAGCTTAAAGAGCCAAGGTGTAAAGATTGGGTCGGTCTTGATCACAATGAAGACCGACTCAACGACACTAAGACTAAGGTCTTCGTTCTTGGTCTTCTTTTAGCTCTTGTTCTTGTCTTCCTTCTTCGCCTTGTATATTCAATGTTTGACTTGATCACGGCGGTTTGGCATTATCAAAACCTGTTACAAAAAACGAACACGGCTTTAGTACGAAAACGTGACAAGCTCGTGTTTCAACATTCTGGACAGGCTCTTCAATTTTAGAGGTCCACACTTTGTTTTCGAGTCATTTGTTCTTGAATCAGCATAATTATCTTCAATCTAGCCGTTGAAAATCAAGAGATTGATTTTTCCTTACCAATGGGTAGAATTTCTTCATTCAAGACTTAGATAATTTTCTAAGTCTTTTCTCACTTGTCCGCTTTTTGAGAATTCCGGTCTTCAATGAGTCTTCCGATTCTTAGCTGACAAATCCGGAGGAGTCATTCTTAGTCTTCCGGGTGAGAGGAAAATCCGCGCTAGTCTTCCGACTTAGCCTTCAGCGGGTTGTAGCGAGACATCCGGTTCTTATGTAGTCTTCCGGATCAGAGGATTTTCATCTGCTTGAGAAATCCTTACTTGTCTCTGACATTTCCGATTAAGATATCCAATTTCCATATCACTGAATTTGATTAAGTCTTCAGGCATCAAAACGCTTAAAGAAATATCACAACTTTATTGGAAATCTCAAGAACTCGGTTTTGACAATATTTCTAAAAAGAAAAATTAAATTGAATATTGGGGGATACCTAAAGTCCCTATTACATTCTAAATACATCATCATCAAAATTTATAATATTTTTCCCAACAATTTCCCCCTTTTTGATGATGACAAACAAGTGTTTAAGAGTTCCGGTCGCTGTACTGAGAACTAATTTTATAACTTTCTTTTAGTTTCTCATAACATACAGCTTGTTAACAAAAACTCTTAAGCAAATACAATTCAAATTACAATAATTCCTAAACCAAGTCTTGTCTTGAGATTTTGTGATATCTTCTGCCATCATTGCCGTCTATGAGGGTGAGGAAGAGAAGTTTCTCCATTGAGAGTATTTTTCTTGATGTTTTTCTCAGACAGTGAACTTGAAGACTTTCATATTGATAGAGTTGTTTGTGATGGAAATGGATTGGAATGTCTTGATTTAAATAGGGGAGGAGAAGGTTCACGGGTTCCATTAAGTAGGTAGTTGGAACGGTGAGAGTAAAAGAGTTTCAACTTCCAAGAGGTTGAATTTTGAAAAGTTGAAGGAATCTTTTACTGACTACCAAAGAATTGAAACTGTTCCAATTAGAAACTTAGTTTCCTTTTGTTTGAGAAACGTAACTGTTTTAGTTTGGCTAAGCCCAAAAGAGTGGCCTAAAAAGAAAACTATGTACTAAAGGGAAATTATTCCTATTGGGTTCTCAAGGCCCAAAATAAAACTATCATTTTTCATTCCCTATAGTTCTAATTTCTAATTAGGACGGGGTAGTACCAAAAACAAATATGAATTTTATTTTTAAAAGAAAAGTGGTACTATTATTCCAAAGTCATGTACATTATAAAAATCCTAAGGACCAGTACTTTTAGAGCTAGTTGGAAATGAATTAAGAATTAAAGCTTAGTTTAAGAAGGCAGATTTTGTAAAGTACCTGAATCAGAGATTTCCAATTTTAGTACCTTAACTAAGATATCCGTCTTCCATTGCTTAGAGCTCATCAATAATTCATTGCCAAAAACAATTGTTAGCCAAAAACTAGTTAAGTTCCCCCTGAATGTATGCGCTTCAGAAAAAATATTTTCAAAATCATACTTGAGATAAGCATAATCAAGCATAGTAAGCACAATTAAGAGCAATGTTTAAACCAATCAAGCAATGTTTAAACAAGAAGGTGTTTTCATCAAAACAAATTAGTGTTTTCACATACTTTCCCCCTAGTTCGATGAAAAGAACCTTTTGTTTCTCTTGCGCTTAGAAGATCTGGCAGCCTCACTGATGCCTTGCATGTTTCCACAGAGTTCTCTGTTGCGCCTTAAATTGTTGCGTCTTTCCTCTGATTGGACATCATTTGAGAAGTGGTCAACAACTGTACCTATAAATTTGGTTCCATCCAGTCCTGAGCTGGATAGATGTTGTGCTGAGTTTTCTGGATTTCTTTGCTGTGCTTCAAGGATTAGATTTGTCATGTTCAGATGAGAAGGAATATAAGAGACTTCTCCTTCTTTGACTGCAATAGGGAGCTGTGGTATTGGAGATGGACTGTGTTGTTGGAGAATCACTTCCATCTTGCGCTTTCCAGAATTTGCGCCAAGAAGTCTGAACAGTTTGAATGCTTCCTTTTGATTGTCAATGATCACCTTCAAGTAGTCTTTGGTTACTACCTTATTTGCTCAAGCTACTGCTAGGGCTGATCTGATGTCCATTTGGAGAAGGGACATCTGTTTTTGTAGACCAACTGTGACACTCGCTATTTGCTCTTTGACTTTGTTGATCTCCTTGAGTTGAAGTTGACTGTCAGAGGCATATATCTCCATCGTGTTGCTCATAGTTTTACTCAATAGAGAGATGATCTCTAGAGTCTTTTCTACTGATTTGCTTATTTCCTTGAGATCTGCGCTGTGTTTTTCTTCTGATTTCTCTATCAGCTGAGTGTACCTCGCTTCCATTTGCTCTATCTCTTGCGTAAAGGAGGCATGTTGAGATGCTAGGGCTGATTCAATCAGCCCTTGGACCTTCTTTGTCTAGAGTTCTGGTATTTCATCCGGAAGTGTAGGAGTGGAAGAGCTATGAAAGTGGAAGTTGGTTACCTGATGAGAGGATGGTGTTCTTTGGAAGAGTTGCATAGGAAGAGATTCAGCATCTTCTTGCACATCTTCCTCGTCATTGATCTTCAGTGTTCTCTCAGATTCTTCCTCTGCTTCATCAAGTATAAAATTTGATATATCCCTAGAGAGGGAGTCTCTTTCTTCAGCTGCATTCTGTTCTTCAAAAATGGCTATTGGAGTTTGAGAGACCTCCACTTCTGCCATTTGAGTTTCCTTCTCAGCTTCTCCAGAGTTCCTTTAGACTTCTACAGCTTGCTCCATTGTTTCTGGAAGAGCTGACTGTTCCGGAATTTCTGCTGATTTCTTCGGGATCTCAAGTTCTGGCTGGTTGGAGATCTCACAGGTAGTTGTGAGAATCTCAAGGACTTGAGATTAGATTTGTTGCTGAAATTCTTCTTCTTCTGTTTCCTGGTTCTGTTCTTATAGGGGAGAGGCTGCATTTTCTTGACAAACAGGTGAGGTTTCCGGAACGATTTGAAACTCTTCTGCTATTGCTTTCAGGTCAGCTATTGCTTCAGAAGTGAGAATTACTTGATCTTCTGTGGCTTTTGAGAAGACTGGCTTGTAGACTGCAGTGTCTTCATCATCTGCTTCAAAGTTTGAAACTGGTATGGTGGCCAAGTGTTCCAGATGCATATCTTCATTGTTCCTTTGCCATACCCAGTAGTCATCCAACATATCTTCACAGTAGTGGTTGACTGGTAGTCCTAGGCATTTCTTGATGGTCTTCTCATTTTTCAGTTATTGGTCCCAATCCAACAATTGCTCTGCTGAATTTCCAACTTTCCAAGCTCTCCAATTATAGTAGAGCTGCCAGAATTTGTTTTCAGCAACATCTGATTGAGGCTGAGATGAGGCTGGAAGGCTTTTTTAGCTTGAGGAATTTCTTCTTCAAGTTGTTGAGAACTTTGGTTTTGGGTAGTGGTTTCCTCAGCTGGTTCATTCTCCTTCAACTCATCCGGATTGACATTTCCAGATGTTGATGGAGAGTTGATCTTCCTCTTCTTCTTTCTTTGAAGTTCTCCTTGGTCAGAGACTTCTTCTTCCTCTTCCAAATTGATCAAAGCAAGGTTCTGTGGTGCTTCAACACTTGGAGAGGGAGACACCACATGCTTTCTCTTGGCAGTCTTTGCCAAATTGATGAGTGGGACATTATCTGATGAGCTTTCTTCTGCAGTGGCACTAGCACCAGCTCTGTTTTCTCCTTTGGAAGATAAGTAGTATAACCAGTATCTGGTTTCATACTTCTTCCCTTCAGATGCAGCACCCATAGACTCCAAAATATGTCCAATGTATAGTCCTTGACAAAGATACTTCTAATTGTGCTTTCCCAGATGTTTTGAAATGGATTTGAAGAAATGTGCTGCCCAATTTACCTTAGATTTGGTAATGAGAGCGTTGATGATGAAGGCTCTCTCTTGCGTGATGTCATCGGCATGACCTCCACTTCCACACTCAAGGCATGCGATGACCAGTTCCAAAACTAACTTGTAGTCGTTGTTCAAATCTGCTTTCTTCGCTGCGCCAGAAGGAATTTGTCCAGAAATTCCAATAACATTCCAGTCCAGATTTTTGACTGGAAATCTCCCAATTTCAACTCCAGAATTGGGAAGGTGAAGCTTTTCTCCCAATTTCTTCTGCGAGAGCTTCACTTTGGTTCCTCCAACAGTGGATTTGATGACTTGAATCATCCTCTGTGGGTCCTTCTTTGATTTAACAGACTTGACTTCTCCATTTCTGTAGAAATCAAGAACTTCTTCTTCAAATTTGAGGTGAATCTCCATTTGAAGAAATTCGGAGAGTTCTTGAGCAGCTATCATCTCCAG